CATATACACGATGCTCTAGAAAAATCGAGTGTGATGTTTCTTCAGTTACCAGTTGACCCAGTTGATGTTTCGAGCACATATTTCTACTACGGACGATGGTTGATAGTAGTATCGTTACCCCTCCCAACGGTTTACCGCCTCATCTGGCTAGGAGTTGTTTCTGGGTGTCGGACTGCGATGTACAGCGGGGGGATTCGTCCCACCGACAGTGTCTCTCATGTTGAGAAGGAGTCCGGCGTTTCCATCAGAAGCCTAGCTAAGAGTAAGCCAATACCAGGATCCACCGCCGTCCTGGCATCAAAGTCCGGGGAACCAAAATGGCTTAGCCAGCAAATCTCCGAAAAATGGAGATTATGCTGGAGCCCGCACAACCAGTGAGGACGAGCCATTCAAGTATCAAGTACGTAGGTATCGTTACCAGTAAACTTGTGTCTAAATGCATTCCTTACTAGAATATTCTGGTATTTTTGCTAGTTAAACTCCTATGGGTCTCCGGCAAAATGTCTGTTTCTTGAAGTTCGTATACTGAAATGCTCTTTATTTGATTTAGCCTATTTTTAGGTCTTTTTTTCTCGAGGATCTCTAAAGTCCTCAGTGAACTGTGTCACTTTGGGTCTATTCTTTTTATAACACTACTTGGCACTTGCGTTGTTGTACGCTTCCTATTTTCATTAATAACCCTGCCGATGTTGTTTTCTTCTGAATCTTCTTTCAGTTATAATCTAATAATTTAATGAGAATAAGTACCCATTATCTTCTCTAAAAGTGGTTACCGTGGACACTGAACTCAACTGCCAATATTAATCATTATTTACTCATATTTATTGAAACTGAAGTGCACATACAGAATTGTAAACTGTTAATAGAGATCTTTCAGAATTGAGGAAGTATGACTTTATAAAAATGACTATACGTAGGATCTCTTAGGTTAAGAAAGGCATCTATGTGCTGATAGTTTGTAAACAAATGTCTTCTTCGCTGATAACCTGTCCCAGAGAGAACCCATTTGCCTCGAACCTACGGCAGGAACGGGAAAAGACCACACGGTATCGCTTAAGTTTTCACAAACTCATCAAAATTGCAAATCGTCGAATGCTACAGTCAAGCGAAGCTATTCATGGGCAGAAACGACAAGGCTTTTATGGTAACTAGAATTTTAAACTTTGTATGGTTAAACTCCATGGAAACACATTGATGGATGCACACGCAGTGAACACCAAGCCATTCTGAAGTACGTGTTTACACCACAGTTACATCTATACAAGTCTGTTAAGTAACTTGTCACTTTGTTTTACTGAAAATTGTTTGTCTTTAAGCGCCGTACTTCAGTTTTCAATTGCATCAGCAATGACGTCGTTTCGCTATCCTCATCAGCAGCAGTCTCATTGACGGGTACTCTCATCACCGTCAACACTCTCGCTGCACGTCAACAAAAGCGAAGGATAAACAGTTCTCTACAAATTGGCATTTCTCAGTCGACATCTGTTATCACATCTGTGTTAGGCAGTCAATTGATTGGTTACAAAACTTTTGGCAAAAGTTCTGTGCGCTGGAGTAAACCACTAGGAAGAAATTGACTGAAAATCAAGTCACGCCACCAAAGGACCTTACGATTCCTTTTGAGGTCATGTCGTCATGATTTTAATACGTAAGGCCTTAGAGTTATGGAACCCGTGTAGAGCAGTGGTTAGAGTTACCTTGCAGCAAACACGTCGTCTTTGGTTCCATGCCGCATCCCCGGATCACCAAGCGTTCTATCTTTCTGGGCTCAGTAAATTGCTGCCACACTTCTCTGGGAGGAGAGAATCGCTGACTTGGTACATCGGTGGGCACCGATAGTCGTTGTATAATCGAGATATGCATTCATTGTCTTCAAACTATGCTTAGTGAAGTTGTGGCATGCTTCGAAATTGATCAAGAGCTTCACTCTTTATCGTTTTAACGTCCGAGGTGCAATGTATGCCATTCAGTTTCAAACAAATATATTTTGCTTCATATTATATTATATTAGTTGTAATAAAATCCATTAATAATCTAGACATATTTGCTTACATGTTGGAAGTTTTATTCTACCCAAATAAGGTTGTGGTTTTTTGGAGTTCATGGCATTTATCTATTCCTGCTTTGTTGCTCCAATTCTTCGAACACGAAGGCAAAAGAAAAAACGGGATTCCGTTCAGCAAGACACGGTAACGTTATTCAATGTATCGTTTGTGTTTCCATCTAACACTTTGCGTTTAAAAGCTCAAGAACTTAGATTTCATAATCAGTTTTCAAAGCTCTAGTTCTGTTTTCAACCTATATGTCAATTTGAAACGACACTGTAAGAAATTTGTACGTGGGATTAATTTGGCAGAGCAGAGTCTGTTCTGTAAATCTTTGAAGTTCTGAATTCTTAAAAATTCCAGTGATTAAAGAATTATCAGTTATCGAATAACGAGTTTGAGGGCTTATGTGTTAAATCAGCTAATGACCTATTTATTATATGAATATTGTATAGAAAAGTCGTTTTGTGTAGAGAACACATACGGTTTTTCAGTTCTTCGACTTGCTCCCGCAATAATAAACTTGTAGAATTCTCTTTTTTGACCTGAAAGGAGCTGATTTTCACGTATTCTTGAAATTCGTAGGCTATTTCGGAGTTTTCCGCCTTCAGGGCCGAGACGTATTATATATATGTATTTGTATCGTTCAATTTCTTTCCTTTAATCTCAGTAAAAGCCTTGCTTTTAAGCCAAACTAAATATTTGTCTCTTTAAGAGAACTCACCATTTATTCTTTATTCGAAAGAGTGATGGCCATGAGGTTAAAAGCGTGAAGGATAATGCTCTCGGCATTGATCACTCTCTGAAGGGTGCAATGCATTCGACTTCATTAAGCATCGTTGGAGGTGATCGAATGCATATCGGGTCTGTACAATGACTCGTGGTGGCCTACCGATGTATCGTACCAGTGCTGCTATCCTTCCGGCCAAATCCGCTACCAGGCCGACCTCGGAACATTGAAGGGTTTAGTGAGCTCAGGGATCGAGCAAAGGCAACGTGCGCATTGCAGGGTGCTCTAAACGGGTCCACAGGATTGCTTTTCAGTGTTATTTTGCAAGGTATGATCCACCAATGTAAAAGTCATGACTGTTTTTTTTTTGCGAGAAAATAGTTTTTTTTGCACGCCCCTTATTTGCGTCTACTGCACAGATCCCATCACGTGCATTCGATTTGTTTCCTCACATCCACAAAAGTTTTTGAGCTTTTCACGTGGGTTCGGCTCGTGCTTAAAGATAATCGTTTTCTCCAAGGATTTCATTGAATGCCGGGCGAGTTTACTTACCCTGGAGTTCCGGGATAGCTGTGCTAGAGCGTTACCACTTGGATTGTAGGGAACGAACTTTTCCGAGACAAGTCCTTCTTCAGTTTCTCATCTTCGACGGGATGAGAGGCTTGGTTAGCCTGGGCAGACTGAAACCAGCACGGTGCTTGTGATGAACGGTAGCCGTCCCTGAAGGTTATAACTGTGGATTTCTTAAATGTCCATCTTGCTCATTTGCTATCTATCTTGCGTTATCACGGACACAGCAATATAACGCACTGATATGGAAGCGGTCCGATTTTCAGCAAGAACTAAGGGTGCACTCCGCAGTGGGGGCGTCGATCGGCTACGTGCCAACTGGGAATTTTCACGTTTCACCAGTGCCTACTTGCACATTATCACGTCCATTCGTCGCCACGGGTTGTTCTGTCTATGTTCCAAATGGTCAGCAACACTGTAGAATCTGTAGGATTCTTCGCGACTCTGTGCTGATGTCCTGATTGGCTTATATCTATAACGGAAAGTCTGATATTTGTCTTCGCTTTGATTTCCCGAATAATTTTTTGAGACTTGTGACACTTCTTTGTAAATAACACTATCGAAGTGCATGCATTTAGTGAAGTCCAGAATGTCTTGTAACTAAATTGTGTCCTCTCAATCATAAACATATTTCGTAATTATTAACAGTTAAAATCAACATAAATTTTACTTACCGGCATAGAAATTTTTTAATGTTTGCTAATTGTCAGTAATGACGGTGAAGGAAGCCCACAATTAATGTTTATTATGAAGGGACTTAACTGTATTCGACTGCTTACTTGCTTTCATTTCTTGCGAATAGCGAAGTTTTATAGGTGTTGGAGACCGGTAGAAAGTAAATGTTTTAGATGTGTACACTTGTCCATTTTTTGAGTTTTCTGTTCATGGGTATGAATATAGAAGTCGTGAGGATTTGAGCCGAGCGCCAGTCGCTGAACTGAACGTCGTCGCTTGTCGAAAAGGATCCACTTTTCGCCGGACGTCAAGAATTCGATCGAGAAACGGGCCATTTTTGTTGCGCAAAGGAAACGAAGGGCAAACATCATACCGGTGGCCTCGTTGTTCTTCCTTGATTTCGTTCTCATGGCACGATTCTATGGAGCTTTCTCATCTTTCCATTGTGTTTCAAATGACGAACATTGGTTGAATTGTGAATAACGAACATTTTCATAGCTCTCCAAGTAGTTCTGAGCAGCCGCTTTGATTATCGGGTCTACATGGTCGCCGGTCACTATTGGCTGCTAATATCGCCTGCTCCCTCGTTATATCTTTGGCACGAATCGCTTAGAATTACCTCTGTACAACGTGCGTTCGGAAGCCCGTCGTTGGCTCATGCTTTGATTTCATTTCCGTTTACTACCCTGTTTTATGTCACAGTTTGGAGTCATGTGCCAAAAAGACAATATTTTTTCTACATTGAGGTCACAATTATTTAAGGCGTACTAAAGTTCTAGTAAACAAGTTTCAGAAAGCTGTTATGTAAGAAATGCTTGAGGACGAAATGAGCTTCAAAACATTAGTGTAAGCAAGGAGTACACACTACAAAATGCATTTGTAATCTTTAAGTCTCAAAAATTTGCCGTTATTTTTGCAGCAGGCCGCATTTATAAATTACTTCTGTTGTTAAAGTGTTCGACGTATTTCAGATCATCGAGATGGGATCTCCAACTCGGGACTCCCACGGAACCCTCACGCGATGCCGTAAGCGTCCAACGCCTTCGAACTCCATTCTATTTAAGGACCATTTGAAGAATTTAGTATATAACGTGCGTTCGTAGTTCTTCAGTAAATCCTCACTTTGTTTCACTGCAAAGTCGACTTGTTTGAGACAGTGTGTTTCCAGACAACACTGCAAGACCATCAAAACATGATGAGGAAACGAGGGTTAACACTGAATCTCCACCAGACTCTTGTACTTCGGTTGAGAGTGAGATTCTCATATATTTGTTCAAAGCGTATTTCTAACTTATGCCGTTAGCAGGTGTTGTATAGTATTGGGATCTTCTGTATTAAATGATCTTTATCTATGATGTTCAATGTTTTTAGTATATCGCCGAGTATGTGATTCGTAGTCTCAACGAATTCGGATGGGCTGTCGTCGATAACTTCCTTGGTGATAGTCATTGCCGGTTCACGTGCAAGTATGTTCTACGTCTTTTTCTTGTTGACGTTTGTTTTCTAGCCTTTTCTATAAATAGACATCTGAAAAGTTATGTTGTAACAATGTGATTTTATTAATAAGAGGTTTTAATAATTAGATTTCGGTTACTAATCCATAACTTCATTGAAAGTGGGCAGCGCTGTGTCAGGGAGTCACTGTTATCCTCTGAAGAGTCCAAATTTAAAAAATACCATTACGAAGTTTTCTTTGTCAAAAAATGGCTGTTTTCGATTGAAACTTGATCGATGTAACCAACTGTGTAGAGTTGCTTGTTGAGTGGCATTCATGAACGCACTGTTCGCGTTGATCTTTCGCTGAGGTAGCCATATATATATATATATATATATATATATATATATATATAT